GGTGGACGAGGACTCCACAGTGAGCAGCGGAAGCGTGCGAAGAATGCGTGGTGAGCTTTGCTTTGACGTGCGCTGAAAGTTGTGACCAGGGGCCCGGCTGCCATTTGGTGTCGGCTGAGGAGCGCACCTTTTGTTTGTTTTGGCCGTTTCGAGGGGGGTACTCATGGTGAGGCTGGCGGGTCACAGGGCTGCCGACGGTGGACGAGGACTCCATAGTGAGCAGCGGAAGCGTGCGAAGAATGCGTGGTGAGCTTCGTTTTGACGTGCGCCGAAACTTGTGACCACTGGCCCGGCTGCCATTTGGTGTCGGCTGAGGAGCGCACCTTTTGTTTGTTTTGGCCGTTTCGAGGGGGGTACTCATGGTGAGGCTGGCGGGTCACAGGATAGCCACAGGTGGATGAGGACTCCATAGTGAGCAGCGGAAGCTTGTGAAGAATGAGAGGTAAGCTTTGTTTTGACGTTCGCCGAAAATTGTGACCAGGAGCCCGGCTGCCATTTGGTGTTGGCCAAGGAGCCTTAGGCGCGCCTTTGGTTTTTTTTTTTGCCCTTGAGGGGGTGCTAATGGTGGGGCTGTCGTGTCACAGGATAGTCACAGGTGGATGAATACTTCCCATTGAGCAGCGGAAGCGTGCGAAGAATGCGTGGTGGGCTTTGTTTTGACGTGCACCGAAAATTGTGACCAGGGGGCCGGCTGCCATTTGGTGTTGGCCAAGGAGCCCAGGCGCACTTTTTGTTTTTTTTTGGCCGTTGAGCGGGGTGCTAATGATGGGGCTGGCAGGTCACAGGGCTGCCGACGGTGGACGAGGACCCCACATTGAGCAGCGGAAGCGTGCGAAGAATGCGTGGTGAGCTTTGCTTTGACGTGCGCTGAAAGTTGTGACCAGGGGCCTGGCTGCCATTTGGTGTTGGTCGAGGAGCCAAGGCGCGCCTTTGTTTTTTTTTGGGCCGTTGAGCGGGGTGCTAATGATGGGGCTGGCAGGTCACAGGGCGGCCAACGATGGATGAGGACTCCACAGTGAGCAGCGGAAGCGTGTGAAGAATGCGAGGTGAGCTTTGCTTTG